TGGGCTGCCTAGAGGAACTCTTGGGTAGCCTCCTCCAGCCGCGGTGGCGATGGCAAGCACCGCGGCAAGGCTTCTTCGGAGAAGAAGAAGAAGGTCGACCGCAACACCTACCGACAATGCGAGAAGACGGGCCATTGGGCAAAGGAGCGCCCAAATTGCAAGCAGGAGAAGAAGGCTGAGGCTCATCTGGCGCATGTTGATGATGGTAATGAGGCCACTTTCCTGATGGCGATGTTCTGTGCACTGCACGACGTTGAGGCTGAGGAGAAGGAAGAGGTGATGACAGTGAAAGGGCCTGGGAAGGCTCTAAAAGCTATCTACCTCGACGAACTGTGCACCCAAGTCCACCTTGGACATGTGGGCGACGAGCAGGAGCAGCGGTGGTACTTGGACTCTGGTGCCAGCAACCACATGACGGGCTCCAAGGCAGCCTTCTTCGAGCTCGACGACGACGTGATCAGCATGGTGAAGTTTTGTGACGGCTCAAGGGTGGCGATCCGAGAGCGCGGCACCATCATCTTCAGGTGCCAGAATGGCGAGCACCATGCGCTAACGGATGTATATTACATCTCGCAACTGCGTTCAAGCATCATCAGCATTGGCTAGCTGGATGAGCGCGGTAGTGAGGTACTGATCAAGGACGATGTCCTCAGGATTCGAGACCGGGAGCAGCGACTTCTTGCTAAGGTGAAGAGGTCCTAGAACCGGTTGTACCTACTCGACTTGAAGGTAGAGCAGCCAGTGTGCCTGGCAGCATGGCACACGGAGGAACCATGACTGTGGCATGCCCGGTTCGGCCATCTCAGCTTCAACGTGTTTGGTCGGCTAGAGAAGATGGTCCGAGGGCTGCCCCACATCGAGCACGGAGGTGAGCTGTGTGACAGCTGCTTGGCTGGGAAGCAAAGGAAGCTGCCGTTCCCAAAGGCGGCCAAGTATCGCGTAGCAGACGCTCTCGAGCTCATCCACAGCAACCTCTGCGGGCCAATCACGCCAGCCACAAATGATGGTCGGTGGTACTTCCTCCTGCTCGTGGATGATTGCAGTTGCTATATGTGGCTGCAACTCCTGACGAGTAAGGACGAGGCGGCGGCAGTGATCAAAAAGTTCAAGGCGCGCGTGGAGGCGGAAAGCAGCAAGAAGCTGCGCATGCTGAGGACTGATCGCGGTGGCGAATTCACTTCGGTGGAGTTCGCTGCATACTGCTTGGATCAGGGTGTGGTACGACACCACACCGCGCCGTACTCACCGCAACAGAATGGCGTGGTGGAGTGGCGGAACCAGACGGTGGTTGGCATGGCTTGATCCATGATGAAGGCCAAGGGCATGCCGGCAAGGTTCTAGGGTGAGGCGGTGACTACGGCGGTGTTCATTCTCAACCACGCGCTCACTAAGGCCCTAAAGGGCGTGACGCCGTTTGAAGCTTGGTATGGGAACAAGCCGAGCGTGTCTTTCCTCTGAACATTCGGCTACAACGGCCACATCAGGAAGACGAAGCCGGTCCTCACCAAGCTGGAGGAAAGGAGCCCACCGATGGTGCTCCTGGGCTACGCGGAGGGTACCAAGGCGTATCGGCTCTATGACCCACGCGGAGGCAAGGTAGTTTTCTCGCGCGATGTCGTGTTCGACGAGAAGGCGGCCTGGGACTAGAATAGTCTGAGCATGGGGGAAGCTGGCTGCTTCACCAGCACCTTCGTTGTCGAGCACTTGGTCATCCACAGTGGTGGAGACGCTGGAGAGGAGGTGCCGAGCACTCCAGCGACAGAGCCGAGCACTCTAGAAGGGATACCGAGCACTCCGGGAGGGATGCCGAGCACTCCAGGAGTGGTGCCAAGCGGTCCTGCAGTGGTGTCGACCACTCCAGGATGGGTGCCGAATACTCCCGTAGCGGAGCGGAAAGGTCTTGCAGTGGTGCCGACTACTCCAAGACTGGTGCCGAGCACTCCTGCAGTGGTGTCGATCACTCCAGGAGTGGTGATGAGTGGTCCAGGAGTAGTGTCGAGCACTCCGGTGGAATAGGGAACTCTATCGACACTGATTGAGTTCGTCTCACCTCCAAGCGACATCATTGAGTTCGTGGATGTCTTCCACGAAGGTGAGGAGGTGCGGTTCCACAGGTTGGACGACATCATCGGCGGCACAGGGTCCTCAGGCCTGGCGGGTCGGCTGCTCAATGACCCAGAGTTGCTTCTCGTCAGTGCAGAGGAACCACCCACGTTCGCGCTGGCCGAGCGCGATGCACATTGGTGATGGGCGATGCTGGAGGAGATGAAGGCGATCGAGGAAAATGAGACTTGGGAGCTCATCGATCCACATCCAGGATGCCGTCTGATCGGCCTGAAGTGGGTGTACAAGGTCAAGCAAGATGAGCATGGCGCCATTGTCAAGCACAAGGTGTGCCTCGTCGCCCGAGGCTTTATCCAGCGCGAGGGCATCGACTTCGAGGAAGTCTTTTGCGCTGGTAGTGTGCATGGAGTCTGTCCGTTTGCTACTAGCTTTGGCAGCAGCGAAGGATTGGCGCATCCATCACCTGGACGTAAAATCGGCCTTTATCAACGGCGAGGTGGCGGAGACAGTCTTCGTCAGACAACCTTCGGGTTTCGCCATCAAGGGAGCGGAGCACAGGGTGCTCCAACTGCGCAAAGCGCTCTACGGGCTGTGGCAGGGCCCACGAGCGTGGAACGCTAAGCTTGACGCCACGCTGGGCGAGCTTGGGTTCACACGGTGCGCAATCGAACACGTGCTCTACACGCAGCGATGGGGGAAGGAGGAGCTCATTGTCGGCGTGTATGTGGATGACTTGATCGTCACCGGCGCGCGTGTGGAGGACATCAACAGCTTCAAGCACGAGATGGTGGCTCATTTTTGAATGAGCGATCTGGGCGTGCTCTCCTACTACCTCGGCATCGAGGTGAGACAGGGGAAGGAGGCGCTCACCCTCGGTCAGAATGCGTACACCTCGAAGTTGTTAGAGCGGAGCGGCATGGCTAAGTGCAAGTCGTGCGTGACTTTGATGGAGGAGCGACTGAAGCTGATGAAGGTCAGTACCGCGGTGAACGTAGATGCAACACTGTACCGGAGCATCATCGGTGGTCTGTGCTATCTAGTCCACACGAGGCCGGACATTGCGTTCACCATGGGCTATGTCAGTCGTTTCATGAAGGATCCCAGAGAGGATCACTAGGCCACAGTGAAGCGGCTGCTGCGCTACGTCAAGGGGACGGTGGATCAGGAGATCGTTTTCCCCAAGACCGGTGGAAGTAGGCTGCAGCTCACTGTCTTCAGCGATGCAGACATGGCAGGGGACATCGACGGACGGCGGAGCACCTCTGGTGTGCTTGTTTTTCTCGGGTCGGCTCCAATCTCATAGTTGTCGCTGAAACAGAAGGTGGTGGCGCTGTCTACGTGCGAGACAGAGTACGTAGCGGTGGCCACAGCGGTGTGCCAAGCTGTGTGGCTATGTCGGCTGCTGGGCGAGCTGACCGGTGTGGAAGCTCACCCACCAGCACTGATGGTGGACAACTAGCCCGCCATCGCCCTCGCAAAGAATCCGGTTTTACACGACCGGAGCAAGCACATCGACGTCAAGTTCCACTTCCTAAGGAACTGTGTCGATGGAGGACAGATCGTCATCGAGTTCGTCGAAACTGGTCGGCAACTCGCGGACGTTCTCACCAAGCCGTTCGGCCGTCTTTGACTCACGGAGCTGAAGAAGATAATCGGCATGGAGGGGGTACAAGGGTTAGCAGCAGGATTAGGAAAAGAATTGTTATATAATCTACTGCTCCCTTGTGTGAACGCAAGGCAGGGGAAGACGGCGCCGAAAAGGCTCCCTGCTGTGGTACTGTAGCCACAGTAGGGGTAGACGCCAAACGGCTCTCCTGCCGCACTGTAGCCACAGCAGGGGCAGACGTCAAAGTCAGCCCTAGTATCACATCTAATCACTATTGCAGCACGGCAGTTGTACTAGGATTAGATAGGTAGAGTTATATATATACTTTGCCACTGCAATTCAGTAAACAGAGCGAGTTCAGTTTTGCCATCTCCTCTGCAGAGCTCCTGCCAACACTGGTGCCTGTGTTGTGTGTGTGCTCTGTTCTCCCTTCTTTTACCTTTAGCCATAGTGTGTGATCGGACAACGATTGTTGTGGTTAACAACACTGATGAATGATCGACTCACCCGTGCTGGAGATCCAGAGGGGCCAACAATCGACATGCCCGGCCCTTTCCAGTTTTATACTGGTATAGGAGTAAGACACAATGCTTTATTAAATATAGGTACTCGGCATTATTGAGGGAGAAAACAAAGACAAATTGCTCCAACGCAGTCCATCTTCCCCGCTCCTTGCGCACCACCGCGGCACGGTCGTCGTGGTCCACGCACAGGCAGAGCAGCGTCCGTGTTCCCAGCCTCATCATCCTAGAACTGCGTGCTGCCGGCCGCCGGCGCCGATCTCGGCCACCGGTGCTCTGATCTGCGGCCCCGATCGATCGACCCGCCGTCGTCAGCGCTGGTTTGTCTCTCCTCTCCCTCCACCGCCGCGGCACTACACCAGCTTTTTTGCTCAGTTACCCGACCCGAGTATCTTCCACTAGTGGTACTAGTTACTCATTACTACTGTGCTGCTGTTCGTGTTCTTTTCTCAGGAAAGGCATAGGTTCAAGTATATTCCTGACTGGATTATTTGTGTGATGGCTGCGATGACCATGCACCTTCCTTCTTCTCGTTATCTCTAAGCATGCAGAAGGTAAGAACTAGGAAGTTACACCTGCAAACTGATTCATCTTTTGAAGGCGACGACCCTTCTCTTCAGCCATATAATCATTCCAATCATTTCTGTAAAGTGCCTTACCATCCTTCTTCAATCTCCACACAGGTCTACATATATATGTTGTCAGTTCACTGATACCAGAGCGCATCTGAGATACACACACACAGAGAGAGAGAGAGAGAGAGAGAGAGAGAGAGAGAGAGAGAGAGAGAGAGAGAGAGAAGGGTGATCATGGAAACGACAGGGTTGAGCGTGGGCAAGTCTGTGCTTAATGGAGCGCTCAGCTACGCCAAGTCGGCCATCGCACAGGAGGTAGCTCTGCAGCTAGGTGTCCAGCGTGACCAGGCTTTCACAAGGGATGAGCTGGAGATGATGCTCTCTTTCCTCATGGCTGCACATGAGGAGCGAGACAATCACAAGGTGGTCAAGACCTGGGTAAAGCAGGTCCGTGACGTGGCCTACGACGTCGAGGACTGCCTCCAAGATCTCGCTGTTCGACTTGGGAAGCCATCCCGGTGGTGCTTCCTTCGGACGTTGGTCGATCGACACCGTGTGGTCACACGGATGAAGGAACTACGAGCCAAGGTTGAAGATGTCAGCCAGAGGAGAATGTGCGCTATCGCCTTATCAAGGAAACTACTGGCTCCAAGCCTGGCACTGGCGCTGGGTCATCAAGCATTATTTCTAGTGCAACAATGTTTGGTATTGAGGAAGCTAGAAGGCAAAAGGACAAAGCGAAAGTGGATCTTTCCCAGCTGATCAATGAGGGGAATCAGGACCTTAGAGTGATCGTGGTGTGGGGAACAGGTGGTGTTCTTGGTCAGACCGTCGTCATCAAAGCAGCGTATGACAATCTGAAGAGGAGCAAGATGTTTGAGCTCTATGCATGGTTCAGGATTGTGCATACATTCAATCCACTGGAATTCCTCCAGTGCATTATGAGGCAGTTCTATCAAATCTCTTTTGAAGAAACAGGGGAAACCCAAGAAAAAACAAGCATCGGGGCTCAAGTTTTTAAGAAGATGGGGATCACGAAACAAGATGATTTGGTTGATGCCTTCAGTGAGCATGTGAATGAGAAAAGCTATCTGATTGTGCTTTGTGATCTGTCCATTGAAGAGTGGGATGTGATCACGGGATATTTTCCAGACAATAAGAAAGGAAGCCGAATCATTGTATCCACAGAGCATGGTGAAGTTGCAAGCCTTTGTGCCGGGCAAGAAAGTACAGTGTCGGAGCTCAACCAATCATCTGTTGATCATAGTATTTTTGCTTCCTACAATAAGGTAATATCTATTGGAAATTATAATCATCTACTCCCTCCATTCAAATTATAAGATGTTTTGATTTTTTATACATAGCTTTTGCTTTTGCTATGCACTTAGATACACACTATGTCAAGATACATAGAAAAATCAATCTTGGCTCCAACAGTCACCACTGAGTAGGTCAAAAGAAGGGGGAAAACACTTATTGGAATACTATATGTCCGGTCTATCCCTCTTTATTTTGATCCATCCATGGTCATTATATACATATGCAAAAAAACGAAATACTTCTAAATAATATAGCTCTGTTTTAGCATGCGCTAACATATAAGTTAACTAGCAGTTTTAGAATTTTTAAGATAACAATATTCCAGTATTTTCAAATTTGTCTGCTCAATTGTGCTTGTGCTTGTATCCCAACTCTATGCTATTACATTCTTCTGGAAAACATCCCATATTAGTAAAGAAAAGAAAACGTTGTTTACTTTGTGTCAGGCTTCTCAAGATCAAACCGCATTAATCACTACCGGAAACAGAGACTTTGCCGAGTGCAAAATTCTTTGCCGAGTGTCAAAAATCGGGCACTCGGCAAAGAATTGCACTCGGCAAAGAGTTCTTTGCCGAGTGCCGGGCACTCGGCAAACACGGACACTCGGCAAAGGACTTCTTTGCCGAGTGCCAGACTCTCGGCAAAATCTCTACACTCGGCATAGGCTGCCCGCGAAACTGCGTTCGGTCACGGCCTTCTTTGCCGAGCGCTTGCTGTTAGGCACTCGGCAAAGATTTATTTTTTTAAAATTTCTTTGTCGAGTGCCCCCAGATCTGGCACTCGGCAAAGATTTATTTTTATTTTTTTTAAAATTCTTTGCCGAGCGTCTCAGATCTGGCGCTCGGCAAAGAAACTTTTTTTAAAAAAAAAAACTTTGCCGAGTGCCCCTGTCACGGCACTCGGCAAAGATTTAATTTTTTTTATAATTTCTTTGCCAAGTGCTCCTGTGGATGCACTCGGCAAAGAGGAAATTTTTTTTAAAAAAAATTAAAACACTCTTTGCCGAGTGCCTTATTCCTGGCAATCGGCAAAGACCCCTTTGCCGAGTGCCACACCCCGGCACTCGGCAAAGTTTTTTTGTTTTTGGCCTCCAATTTTTTTGTGCAGCCCTTTTAAAGCACCAGTAACTCCTAGTTATAATTTGGGGATTTTTTATGGCTTTTTGATATATTTAGTTACTTTATTTCGTTTACTTGAATTTTTTCGGAAATTAGAAATTTGAACTGCACGTGGTACGAATAATGGAGTTTAATGATTCGAAAATTGATAGTCATGTTAGTGAGTGTTGTGAGAGGTCGTATCCAGGAACGGACCCGAAATTTCGGACATCTTGTTCACGAAACATATCCGCGAAATTGCGTGTGAAGTGTTTTTAAATTCTATAAAAAGCAAACGAAGTCCGAAAATCATGAAACTTGTTGAGATGTCGTGATATCATATGTGGAGGCTATGATAAAAATTTCAGAATATTTCGTGCATGTTGTCACGTACGATGCATACAAACCAGGACATCTCTACAACTTGTTTCGTGAAAGGGATGTAGAGATGTCCTGGTTTGTAAGCATCGTACGTGACAACGTGCACGAAATCTTCTGAAATTTTTATCATACCCTCCACATATGATATCACGACATCTCAACAAGTTTCATGATTTTCGGACTTCGTTTGTTTTTTATAGAATTTAAAAACACTTCACACGCAATTTCGCGGACATGTTTCGTGAACAAGATGTCCAAAATTTTGGGTTCGTTCCTGGATACGGGCTCTCACAATACTCACTAACATGACTATCAATTTTCGAATCATTAAACTCCATTATTCGTACCACGTGTAGTTCAAATTTTTAATTTCCAAAAAAATTCAAGTAAACGAAATAAAGTAACTAAATATATCAAAAAGCCACAAAAAATCCCCAAATTGTAACTAGGAGTTCCTGGTGCTTTAAAAGGGCTGCATAAAAAAAAATTGGAGGCCAAAACAAAAAAAAAAAAAACTTTGCCGAAAGTGCCGGATATGGCACTTTCGGCAAAAGGGCAAGTAGGTCTTTGCCGAAAGTGCCGTGAATAAGGCACTCGGCAAAGAGTGTTTTCAATTTTTTGTAAAATTTCCTTTTGCCGAAAGTGCATCCACAGGAGCACTCGCAAAGAAATTATAAAAAATTAAATCTTTGCCGAAAGTGCCGATCCGAGACGCCTAAGCAAAGAGTTTTTTTTTTAAAAAAATAAATCTTTGCCGAGTGCCCTGGCACTCGGCAAAGAAATTAAAAAAAACAAATCTTTGCCGAGTGCCTCCCTGATCCGACACTCGGCAAAGCCACGGGCGCGAGGACTTAATCGTTTTTGGCCGCACGGACACCAGAGAGCCACCCCGCCCCGCGCCGCTTGCCCCCCACCTCCGCGTGCGCGCGCTGCGCCCGCCAGCCATCACAGCGCCGCAGCGTTCGCACACCTAGCCACTGGCCGCACACGCAGGCTGCCTGCCACCGGCCGCCCCGGCCGCCCTGCCACGCCACACACGCAGCTACGCGCCACGGGCACGCCGTCCGTGCGGCCGCCGGTTGCCCTTCTGCCGCCACCCCCACTTGCCAAGGCTTGCAGGCCGCATGGCCGTCTTGCCGCGTGCCCCATCACGGCCAAGATCAGGCTTCCGTCAAGGCTGCGCCGCCCGACGCCGCCGCCGGCTGCCCGCCTTGCGCCCTGCCGCCTGAAGCCGGCCTCTACCTGGCCAAGGCGCCAGTGGATCGCCGCCCCGACGCCGTCCGTGCCCGACCCCGCCCGATCCCGACGCCGCCCGCCCCTACCCCGGCGCCCGTCAGGTATGCCTTCTCACTTATTATTGTCGAGGTAGTGGTAGTTGTAGTAGTATTAGTTGTACTAGTGGTAGTAGTAGTAGTACAACTAGTGGTAGTATTAGTAGTAGAATTAGTGATAGTAGTAGTAGAAGTAGTGGTAGTAGTAGTAGTACAACTAATGGTAGTAGTTGAAGCAATAGTGGTAATAGTAGTGGAACCAATGGTAGTAGTAGTAGCAATAGTGAAAGTAGTAGTACAAGTAGTGGTACTACTTGGATATATTCTTCTGCATAGATTGATATCCAAACTACATGGCTTCTGTTGAGCCATATGTGCTTGTCGGCCATCGTGCCGTTGTTTTTTGCAGGTTTTCGAAACCTCACCGTGCAGGGGAGGTTCTATCGATTTTTTTTGTAAATGACAGTATTTTGTTCCATTTTTGTAGAGAAGGGCCCGTCGGAGTTGAGTCAGAGTTCTCGCGACCGTGCCGGTCTGACTGCACCGCGTCGTCTCGCCACTGCACCAACCCGCCACGACCCCGCTAGCCTGACTCCACCGCCACCCTAGGTAGAACCCCTCTTTTCGTATCATTGTCGTAGATCGTGTAACCTAGTTAGGCGTCTCCCGTTCGAAAGATATATGGTTGAAGGTATGCAGATCTTTGCATATCTATGACCGTATCTATTTTGGATTGTCCACGCTTTTTGGACAGCCCGCGGATACGTAGATGGGTTAGTTCCCATGTCATTAGGGTCAAGTCATTTACCGGTTATGACGTGAATGGATATCGTTTTCACACAGCAAGCTACGAGCAGAATCGGCCCAATCAACAAACCACAAACAGCGGAGTTGTTACGCCCGGCACTAATAGACTCGACTATTATGGAAGAATTGAAGAAATCTATGAACTATCATTTTATGGTTCCAAACCTCTTACTCCTGTCATATTCAAATGCCACTGGTTTCATCCTGGTGTAACGAGACGGACCCCTAAGCTTGGGCTAGTCGAGATTCGACAGGATTCCGTCTATCCAGGAAAAGATGTCTACATTGTGGCTCAACAGGCCGTCTAGGTTTATTATACGTCATACGCGTGCAAAGACGCCGAGCATCTTAAGGGTTGGTCTATTGTTCACAAGGTATCGCCACATGGTAAACTACCTGTCCCAAACGATGAAGATTACAACTTCAATCCAAACACATATGATGGAGAGTTCTATCAAGAAGAGGGGCTACAAGGGAGGTTTGACATAGACTTAACCGAAGAGATAGGAATGGAAGTAGACAATGAAAGTGATGATGATGAGGACGCTGGAGACGAGGTGCGAAATCTGAAGGACATACAAATGCTTGAGCGATTACATTTGGGCAATGACAATGAAGACAACATTCCTCCTTCGGATAGTGTTGATGAGTTGGACAATGTTGATAGTGATGACGAGACCTATGATTCAGCTAATTTCAATCATGAAGATTATTTCTAATACATGTAATACTATGTTTTTTGTAATTATGGTTTGTTCATTTTTGCATATATTTCTAATACATGTATTACTATGTTTTTTGTAATTATGTTTTGTTCATTTTTGCACCTATTTCTAATTACGTCTTGTTTTTCTTTTTTATTGCAGGTGATTGAACAAAGATGGCAGGCGACCGTCATAGGTCTGTGAACTCGATTTACCAAAGACCACGCTGGCCGCAGGAGGGGGCGGCAGAGGGATTGAACAGGAGGAGGAGGACCGCCAGCCGCAGGAGGGGGCCGTCTCCTCCCACGCCACGTGAGGAGGACCGCTAGCCGCAGGAGGAGGTGGCGCTAGTGGACGAGTCAGACGAGGAGCTGGTTCGGCAGATGGAGGAGGAGGAGGAGGAGGAGTTGGAGGAGGGGGAGGGAGGCGGTAGGCACGGGTTCCGCTTCCTCCAACTCCTCTTCGAGTGTCTACTTGCGAGGTCCCGCGAGCCTCCCACAGGTTCCGCTTCCTCACCAACGCCCAGCGATTCGCCCCGAAGGACAAAAGTAAGTAACTGTATATGTTATCACCACTACTTCATATGATATGATGAAAAAAACTAATAATTTTTCTAAATCACTTGTGCAGGAACTGGGTGGTTGTGTCGGGTGGTAGCGCACGGCTAGTCAACGGCATCATGGGTCTTCTGTGTAGGCAACATTTCCCCTGCATTGTCACGTACGCATCAAAGACGGAGCCGGCCTACTCGTTTGACCACTACGTCGTCGCCTCCGATGTGGAGTACCCCAACAAGGCGGTGCGGGTGAAGGCAGAGTTTTGGGTAAGTCTCCCTCGCACAACATTGCTCAATACATCGCATTCATTGGAGTTTTCTTGAAATAATGAATGGATACATCGCTTTTGTATGCAGACTTATTACAGATGCGAGGAGGGATTTGAGGCCAGGGAGGAGCAGGCGATTACCAAAGCCTGTAAAAAACTCGTCACCGACATGCATCACGAGGCGCGCATCTAGGCCATCGTAACCTACTACGGGTCGAAGCTTGGAGAGAGGAAAACCAAGAAAGACGCAAGAGAGATGCAGCTGACCCAGGAGCAGTACCTTGAGGTAAATGAAGAACATCAATATTGATTCGTTTTGAGATTAAGTTGATTTAATTTGATCTTCTTATATGTCCAATACTTGATGACGTGTAGATGATTCCCTCGTGGTGCCAAGCGTATCCCGAGTGTTGGGCGATGATGGTGGACAGGTGGTTCACGGAGGAGTACCTTAAGATGCACAGGGATGCCTGGGACCGTTGTTTGCTGATGCAAGGTCCAGCACACCATCAAGGCAGTCGCAACCTCGCCGGATACAAACAAGCATGGGTACACGAATTGATTTCTCTATTGTCACGCTCAGTTCTGCCTGATTTCTAATCATCGTGCTATCTTTCTCGCAGTCGGCGTCACATAGTGGCCAGGCTTGCTCGGACTTCTAGGCATGGTGTATGGCCCACAAGGGCAAGGCGACGTCCGACGTCTCCTTCAACCTAGAGGACCCGCCTGAGGCATACACGAACCCGAACGTCCACTCCCACATCAGTGAGTACACTAAGGTGGCAAGGTCGCTCCATGGGTCAGACCACGATCCGAGCACCCAGGACTTCGATGGAGAGGCCGTCATGAGGGCGGGGCAAGGCAAGAAGCATGGGCAGTTCTGGCTTGGCGACAGCGTCATCGACACGGCCTCTACTCCCTCTCTCTCCCAGATCCGAGCACGGAGCACGAGCGAGAGCCCGACCATTCGCACACGGCCGACCGCTGCACAACACCGGGTCGACGCACTCGAGGTTATTTCTATTTTACTCGTCATACATTGATCTTTACACACCTTAATTAGCTTTACATTACTGAAACATTGGAGTGAAATATTGCAGGCCCGGCTGGAACAAGAAATGAAGGGACGTCAGGATCTGGGGGCCCAGCTGGAGGCCGAGCGGGCCGAGCGCAGGCCCAGGCGCAGAGGCTAATGGACATTACGGATTTCCTACAAGGGCTTGGGCAATGTATGGGCTTATCTCTGCCACCTGGGCTGTTGGTTCCACCTCCGCCTCCACGTCCTGCAGCTGCAGCTACTCCTGTGAGTATCAAAGTTTTTTACTTTCGCTTGTGCTTTGCTTGTATGGCCTCTATCGTCCTAGATTAGCTATTAAAATAATCTTGTCTCACATGCAATCTTTTCTCCTTTGTGCAGTCTCCATCTGACGGTGGTTCGAATAATCCACCTCATGCACCTACGAATGATGCATCTGGGCCTTCACCACGGTCGCAGTGGCCGAGATGAGTGCATGTTGTATTTTTTACATTTGTTGTTCACTTGGTGATGGACTTGTGATATACTTGTGATGCACTTGTGGACTTTGATAGACTTGTGGACTTATTTAGATGGACTTGAGCACTTATTATTATATATTGTGATGGATGTGATATGGGCGGATGGATGTGTGGATGGATGAGATATATATGCGATGGATGAGATATATATGTGATGGATGAGATATATATATGTGATATATGTTTGTATGAATGTATTTGTCATGATGGAATGCAAAAAAAATGCCGTTTTGGGTCACTTTGCCGAGTGTTGCACTCGGCAAAGGACCCCTTTGCCGAGTGCAATGGCCACAACACTCGACAAAGCTGGAAAAATGGGCGATCAGAAAACAGATTTTCTAGCTTTGTCGAGTGCTGTGACCATGACACTCGGCAAAGAAATAAAAAAAAATTAAACTTTGCCGAGTGCCGGCCATAGGGCACTCGGCAAAGAATTTTTTTTAAAAAAAAAACAAAACTTTGCCGAGTGCCACCCATAGGGCACTCGGCAAAGAAATTTTAAAAAAAATAAAAAATCTTCGCCGAGTGCCTTCCGGTTTGACACTCGGCAAAGAAATTTTTTTAAAAAAATGAAAAACGTTTACCGAGTGCCCGATGGCTGGCACTCGACAAAGAATTTTTTTTTAAAAAAAGTAAAAACACTTTGCCGAGCGCCTGTTTGGTTGACACTCGGCAAAGAAATTTTTTTAAAAAAATTAAAGCTCTTTGCCGAGTGCCTTACGCGTTGGCACTCGGCAAAGAAATTTTTTTAAAAAAAATAAAAAATCTTTGCCGAGTGCCTCACGGGTTGGCACTCGGCAAAGAATTTTTTTAAAAAAAAATAAAAAATCTTTGCCGAGTGTCTCACGGGTTGACACTCGGCAAAGAAATTTTTTAAAAAAAATTAAAAAAATCTTTGCCGAGTGCCTGCAGGGTTAGCACTCGGCAAAGTGACCGTCAACGGAACCGCCGCCGTGCCGGTCGCTTTTCTTTGCCGAGTGTCCCCAGGACAGATAAAAGACACTCGGCAAAGAGGGCTTTGCCGATCAGATTTTTGCCGTGTGGTCTTTGCCGAGTGCCGCACTCGGCAAAGGCTTTGCCGAGTGCAATTTGGCCTTTGCCGAGTGCCAGGCACTCGGCAAAGAACCTGAATTCAGTAGTGAATGGAGCCAGGGTCTAGCTCATGTGAAACCACACTGGGTACCAACAGCTCTGTGATGCCAACGGATGAGATTGTTGAGAGTCAGTTTGTAGGCGACAATGAAAAGATTGCCGGAAAACGCCTCTGTCGCCTGGGGACTATGGCATGTGCTTTGGAGGAATCTCAGGTTGTGGGTCGAGAGAAAGAGAAGATTGACCTTATCAATTTAATTTCAAAGCAAGATGACCAGCAACCTATAGTGATCTCGGTGTGGGGAATGGGAGGTCTTGGAAAAACTACGCTAGTCAAAGAGATCTACCAAAGGCAAGAGCTAGGTGGCTTATTTGAGAAGCGTGCATGTGTTACAATCATGCGTCCATTTGTTCTCCAAGAGATCCTTGAGAGCTTAGCTATGCAATTAGATGCAGATTCTGTTGGGTTAGGCACACAAAAAGTAACCGGAACTGAAGCATTAATTGAAGTACTTGATAAGGTTTTGGCAAGAAAGAGGTGTCTAATTGTTCTCGATGACTTGTCTTCTATTAGGGAATGGGATATGATAATACAAAGTCTCCCTAAAATGGAGAGTGCATGTCGGATCATTATCACCACTAGGGAAGAGAATATCGCAAGACGTTGCTCACAAAAGCCAGAAAACATATACAAGCTCAAGGTTCTTGAAGATAGTGACGCTCTTGACCTCTTGACCAAGAAGGTACTGATACAGAACAATCTTGCTGCATTTGTTCAATTGCTTTAGGTTATGAATGCAACACTACTTACTATTCTATTATAACGTCTGGATACAGAATAGAGTGTGGTGACCAAAGCCCCAATACTGGAGACAATGAAATGGAATAGGATGCAACTAGTGTTGCTCATCTGTAGTAGCCTTCTGTGCATAAGACAGACAAATGTGGACATAACATTTCTAGTGGCACCCTGGTCATCAACACCTAGCACTCTTGCCCAAATATTAGTATTTACTAGAACACTCTTCCCATTGCACAATGTTTGTCCATAGTGTCGGGAGTACCCATGTAACAATGTTGGTCCACATGAATATTGTGCTATTGTTATCTATAGTAATTAATTCAATAATGCAAAGTGTGGCCTTTCAAGGGTAAAAACCAATGCGTGTAGCTTATGGAAGGTTCATGATTTTGAGGAATGGAAGCCTTTTCTTTAATTGATTTATTGGTACATTTGCAATGACATTAGTTTTGCACAATATGGGCATAGAAAAATATTGTGAAAAGGATGCAGCATATGATTTATAAATTGTATCGAAGTGATATTAATTACCATGTGTTCGTACCATTCTGATTGAAAATTCTTCACATTTCGCCAATGTTATATATAATCGATGAATTCTCAAATCTCACTTGAGTGTTTAAAGGGCTCCAACACCTGAACTTTTGGGCTTCAAAGTTTGTGCTTCATAGAAAAGTTGAATATGCTGAGTCACGAAGTGGGAGTGTCTTATTAAGGAAATTCTTTGACTATATTTAAGGAAAATTCGAAAAAGGCTAAAGAATTTGAGGACAAGATTTAGTGCATGTGTGAAAAATTAATGGCTTATCTATGGCAACGGGTTGCTCTTAGCTAGAGCATGGCTAGCTATATATATCTATATATACTATTGCCATGTCATCTAAAGTCATCATTAGTGATAACTCATACAATAGGTTGCTATTAGCTAGGTTGGCCATCTTTTCCACCAACTCTTTTTTTCTATCCTCTGCAATTACCTGTTTGCATTGGAGCATGGGGAGAGGTGGGCTTTTGCATGAGAGCCTCCTCTTCTCTTTTTTTTTTTGAATGAAACTCCTCTTCTCATTTTCCCTTGTCTCTCTCCTCCACATAGAAAAATTGCCATATAAGTGGTCCATAAATAAGTTTCTTATTATGCTTGCTCATAGGACTATCTCAGTGCATTGCATCATACACATAAAATGTGTGTCACATAGGAACTGTTTATAAGCTTTTGGCCCATTCTCATAGATATGACATTTGCAATAGTTAGTTGACTTGAGGTTTCTAAGGAACAACACCACATGCATTGGCTGGCTTGTATCATTTTATATTTATACGACATGGCAACTTTGGAAAGAGTGACATGGTACAATGCATTTGGGGGACTCATATTAACGTCACATTATCTATTCGTGTCGGTAGAGTGAGGTGTCTAACCAGAAGATATTTACTTCTTTGAGGTTGGGGTGCCACCACTTAGTTATATGCATGTTATGTAAACACAATGGCTAGACTAGTATTTGCACCATAACCTTTTAATTCGATACATATTAAGAACTTTCTTTACTGTAAAAATAAAATCAAGGTGCTAAAAATCAATTTCCGGAGATGGCTGCTTGCTTGACCAAGGGCTTACGGAAATGAGTGGTTTCCGCATGCAGCCAAGCAACCGTCTGTAGTCTAGAAATATATTTTTAGAAATGGTATGTTCAGTTGGTCCTCACTATAGGAAAAAGCCTACTTAACCCCCCAAACTATTGATGTTTGTCTACTTCACCCTCTTACCTATGAAACCAGGTATTCTACCCCTTAAACTATGGAAAGCTGTCTAAATAACCCCCTAATGCGGTTTAAAGGTGGTTTCACTGACGTGGCATAACCCCCTAACATATCAAGGGTTGACTATAACCCATTCAACTATAACACCTGATATTGTAGCCCAAGCATCTAATAATATTCAAATAACCACGAGATGATTTTGTAGGGCCATGCGCCACCGCTCAATGAGCACCACATTGTCTTCTACTCCACCTCATGGCACTCCGGCATTGAGCTCAAGTAATGCGGCTGCACCCTTGTCATTCGACCCCTCCCACATCCTCGCCCCATCTCGCTTTCTCCTTCTATGGCTACCTAAAAAACTAAAGGACGACCGGATGGAGGATGTGGAATGACGAGGGTTTGGGCATGGTGCATGAGCTCAATGTCGTCAACGAGTGCCGAGAGGTGGAGCAGGAAACAAGATGTCATGTGTTGCTCGTTGGCAGTGGGTTAGCCTAGAAAGAGTAGGGATGTGGAGGCAGCATATGGGCTTGCGTGCAAGCATAGGTACTTAGGCCAATGTGGCAGGGTACGGTGTCCAAACGGCCCTACAAGACTATCTAGAACTGTAATTGGAACATTATTAGATGATTTAAGGGCTACAATATCTCATTTTATAGTTGAGGGGTTATATAGTCAACCCTTGATAATGTTTGGGGGTTGTGTACTATGTAGACTAGCGAAACCACCTTCAAAACCGTTCAAGGGGTTATCTAGAAAGTTTTTAATATTTGAAGGGGTACAATAACATAGGTGAGGGGGTGAAGTAGACAACCACCAATAATTAAGGGGTTAAGTAGACTTTTCCCCTCACTGCAAATAGATTGCTAGAAGCTGTCCCTTAAGTCGATCATCTTTGAAAATTGATTTCTATGGACAGCCCCTTTTGTTGTGTGCCACTAGAAATAGATTTGGAAAAATAGCGTAAAAATCAGGATTTTTATGCTAGGATGACCTATTGCTGTCACAATCATGTGATTTTTTGCACAAATCACGTGCCTATGTGGTATATAGGTTTCATACCCAGGACCTCTCTCCATGTCTACCATCAACAAAACACTTCTTAACTAGACGAGGAATGCTATTCTTTTGACTTCACTTCAACGATCCCTGTATTTGCGTATTTGGCACTTACACAATCTTAAATGAAAATGTTGTAAAAAACTATAGATATATAGATCTCGTTAACCACTACAACTTATATATGAGCATGTCTCCATCTAAGGTCGTTTTAAAAATTCAGAATTTTGTTTCTAAAAATGGATAAGGGAAATTATAATGTATATTTGGGTCCATAAAAGTTATCAAATGGAAAAAATTGTCAACTACAAAGTTTTAGATCTCAACAAGCTCTATGAGGTTCATATAAAGTTTGTCTTTATCACTTCATATGAAGAAGTTATTAATTTATATGTACGGTCTCTATTTATATTTATAATTATAATACTTAAGCAATTCAATTCTATCTATTGCAGGTATTTAAGGAGGCCATAAATTTATATAATTATCCTGCATTGTTTGAAGAGGCTAGAATGATCCTTAAGAAATGTAGTGGACTTCCCTAGCAATAGTGACAATAGGGGGCTTCTTGGCCAAGCAACCAAAGACTCCCATGGAGTGGAGAAAATTAAATGAACATATTAGCTCCGAGTTAGAGATGAACCCAGAACTTGGTATAATAAGAGCTATCCTTATGAAAAGCTATGATGGTTTACCATATCATCTCAAGTCTTGTTTCTTGTATATGTCCATCTTTCCTGGACACTACAGTATTAGCCGAAGACGCTTGGTGCATCGATGGAAAGCAGAGGGTTACTCAAGTGAGGTACGTGGCAAATCTAAGGGGGAAATAGCTGATGGCTACTTCCTGGAACTTATTGAGCGAAGCTTGGTCCTACCATATAAAGAATCAATTGGTAGTAGAAAGGGTATTTCCTCTTGCAAACTTCATGATCTCATGCGCGAAATCAGCATCTCAAAGGCAATGGAAGAAAATCTTGTTTTTAGAATGGAAGAAGGATGCAGCTTAAACACCCAAGGCACCATACGTCACCTCGCTATAAGCAGCAATTGGGAGGGTGATCAGAGTGAGTTTGAGAGCATAGTGGATTTATCTCATATAAGGTCATTAACAGTTTTTTTGGAAGGGAATGTAAAGGCATTTTTCACCTGCCAGAGTCACTTGGTAACCTGAAGCAACTGGAAACACAAGTTGTTACTGGTACACGAATATTCAAGCTGCCGCAGGCCATCACCAAGCTTAGGAAGCTACAATATATTCGTGCGGGGTCCTTGTATAGTCATATTTTATTGGCTTTCTCGTATCAAAAATTCATGCAAGATGCCCCGAAGCTAATGCGGAACAAGTTATGTGGGTGGACTTATCTTTTTATTACCTTTTGTATTTCAATTTGCAGCCTTAAGCTTGCGAAGGAGACACCAATAACAGCTGACATGGAGCGTGAGCCAATAAATAGGCGTGATGTGTGCACATTCTATTGCTGCGTGGTGTTCCCCTTTTTAGCAAGGCTTGCAGATCCACTTGGCGTTGCAGTGCCAAGAGGGCTCAGGAAGTTGAAAGCCTTGCACACACTGGGAGTTGTGAATATTGCACGAGGGAAAGCCATCCTACAGGACATTAAGAGGCTCACCCGGCTACGCAAGCTAGCAGTTACTGGCATCAACAAGAAAAATTGCAAAGAGTTTTGTTCCACCCTTGTCCATCTCAGCTCTCTGGAATCACTGTCAGTGCACTCAAAGGAGGAAGGTCTAGGTGACTGCTTGGATGGATTGTCCTCGCCTCCGAAGAACATCCAGAGCCTCAATTTGTATGTTCATCTGGACAAATTACCAGAGTGGGTCTCGGGTCTCCAGAATCTTGTGAAGCTGAAGCTGGAAGACACCAGGCTAACGGAGGTGGATGGCACCATACGAGTCCTTGGCAAGCTATCTAACCTGTCCATCCTTTGTCTGCTGCGCCGCACTTTCGAGGCAGAAGGCCGTCGTTTATCTTGCCGTAGGGAGGCATTCCCGAGTTTGACAGCGCTGGAGACAGGGTGGTACACTGGCATCAGATCGGTGTTGTTTGAAGAAGGAACAGCGCCTAAGCTTGAGCTGTTGCTTGACAGGGGCTCAATCTCTTTTTCTGGGCTATCATGTCTGCCGAGCCTCAAGGAAGTTATGATTCGTATGGATCCACAGTTGGCGAATGACGTGCAGTACCAGCTTAGCAGGAATCCAAACAAGCCTGTTCTGAAGTTTGTTTGAGCTGAGCTCCGCATGTAATCAGCCAGGCCGGTCCTGTGCTTTATTCCCTTCTTATTTATTTTTTATGTTTCCTGCTTCCCTGTTCCTCTCCATTTTAGGTGTGTACCTGAAACAATGTTTCCATGTATGGGTGTTAAATTCAACTTGTATAGTTGTACCACTAGTGGCCTGTGTTTGATCTGACGGTACGGATTAGAGGAGTCTGCCGTTGAGCAATCACCCCCAAAGTTGTATTAATTTCCTTTGTGTTTATGTATATGGACCATAAGAGCTGGTGTGCTTTACTCTGCATTGCACTACTGCAGCCAGATGTCATGTAAGTGAGACATGTTCAGTTCATTCAGTAATTCTATTCAAAGACCCCAGAGGCAGTGGCATACTGCATAGATTATGAGCTGCACAAGTACATAGATGTGCTGGTTGCCATTTTATCTGATGGCGTTGCATATATATAGTACTAAGCTACGATATTCCCCGTGTGTTGCCATTCGCAATCGCTGGACATGATTTTTTTTTGACGAAACTTGAACATGATGTTATTGCCGGAATAATGCTGTAGCGTTTGGTCTATTGGTGTGCTTTGTTCTGCCTTAGTGTCAGATGTAACAGTGAAATATGTTCGTTTGAGTAATTCTACTGCAAAGAATCAGTATCATTGCCTTGTTAGTTTGGATTCCCCATCCTCACGTCTCTGTGTCGAGTATCTGTTATGTTGCTTAAAGCTCATCAGAAAGATATATGGTTTCAGGAACTCGTAGCATTCTAATTAATCAAATCTGCAGAAAGTCACCGTTGTTTGGAACTTCAGATGCTACTCTCCGATTAGGCGATGAGTCGTGCACATCCAGTGGCTTGCCATTAATCAGTTCCGGCGAGCTAGCTCTGTTCGTTTGGGCTTGTTTGGCTTATAAGCCGTACTTTTTCAGCCAACGAACAGTATTTTTCTCTCACACCAAATCAGCCAACAGTACTTTCGGCCATGGCTTATCAGCCATACAAGCCCAAACGAACATCTGAGAAGCGAACATAGGATTGCACAATTCTACTGTACTTTTTTTTTTAGAAGCAGAATTCTACTGTACCTGTTTTTTAAGAAAAAATAAAGTGCAGAATTCTGTTGCGTGAGAAAATGTGGCACCATCCGTGCCGGCCTACTGAGTCCAGATGTGTTTCGGTTCTCCGGCGCCCGGCCCAACTAACCACCAATTGAGATTTCAGAGAATCAAACAAGTGCTGCCGATTCTTCTCCTCTCCTCAACCAAAAAATAAACTGAGCTAGTTTTTCGTTTTAAAAAAAACTGAGCTGCCCTCCTGACTCCCATCCACCTTCTAGAAGGGACCCGCCAGGCTGCCAGCCACCCTGCTTTGCTCGGCGGTCAACACCTGCCGATCCCCCTCCCCATCGTTTGAGGAGGAGGTCGTTCAAATTGGGCTAAGCGGCTCGGCAAGCCGGTGCCTTTGGCTCAACAAGGGCCCATTTAGAAGGCAATTGTGCACATTTAAGCCCTTGATGATTTGTACTCAGTAAAAGGGGGAATATGCCAGAATATGGGTACTCGAACTAATGACAGAGAGATCAATTGGCACACCGACCAAGAAATTGTTGCCTCACTACTCGTGCTTGAGCAAGCGAAGGTCTAACCTTCGGAGTGAGGATCTTGGTCGGCTCAAGCTTTGCGCTAGCAAATCTGTTCTCCTGTCGGGATATACTTATCCCAACACAGATTGCATGAAAGAATTATTGCTACTGAATCTCCTCAAGTCATTCATGCACAGAAGGTCATGGTTTCTTGGTTATTATGGCAAAGATCGATGTCGGATTCATAAACCCGGGGTCCCTAATGGGCCCGCTTCCCAGCAAAAGCTCGGCCCAACAGACGACATTGCAAACGACGCACAACTCCTGGGCCGGCCCAGATACCTAACGACAGGCCGGAAGAGCGGTCCAGTCTCCGACCGGAAGGCCTGGCCAAGGAGGGGACGACGCTCGCTTCCGACTCCAACCCGCTTCTCCGACCGGAAGGCCTGCCCAAGGAGGGGACAACGCTCGCTTCCAACTCCGACCCGCTTCTCTGACCGGAAGGCCTGCCCAAGGAGGGGATGACGTTCACTTCTGACTCCGACCCGCTTCTCCGACCGAAAGGCCTAGCCAACGCTCGCTTTCGACTCCGACCGGAGATACACCGAACCTCTGCTCACAGCTCTTCTCCGATCGGTGCGGTCGGAGCCGACTAGGGACAACCGATCGGGGACGCCCGCTCGGTGAGGACCCAAGGGTCAGGCGGAGCAGATAAGACAAGGCGCTCAAGTCAAACCGCAATACTGAGGACCGTAATCTGCACACCTGCAGGACAGTACTGTCAGACCATGTCAGAAGGTGCTCTGCAACCTTCCAGACATGTCAGAACATGAACAGTGTTGCGGACACCGACATTTGTCCTACAGTATGGTACGCGCCGACATTTGCCATACCAGAAGAACACAATGGAGCCTAACAGTGTTGTGGGCGCTGACAAACCGTCTTGTACCCGACGGCGTGGGCAGCAAGACTAGGTAGCACACACACTCTCTTTCTCTCACTCTCTCACACTTGTAAGGCCGTCCCTTCATCTATAAAAGGGGATGCGCTCTCTCCCAACAGATGACGATCGATTCAGACGACGGATTGATGATTGACGAACGGAACACTCCGTCTCTCACTCTGCTAGCTTTAGACACGCCTCTAAAGCTACACAGAGCATACATTCTAATACCTAGCGCACGTAGGAGCTCTCATCACTCTTGGCCCTTAGGTCCAGAGTCCGACCGGACCTCTTATACCCCCCATCTTATTCCCACTCGTTTGTAACCCCACATCAAACTTCGAGCACCTGGGCTCGGGAATAAAGTCACCGACCGACTCAACTAGACGTAGGGCACGTTGCTTGAACCAGTATAAACCCTGTGTCATTGAGTGCTAGGCCACATACGATCACAACGTACGGCAAAACAATAAATATTTACTTGTTGGTCACTTTTCGCACCGACAGTTGGCGCCGTCTGTGGGGAAGATGTCGTACGTTCACGCTTTTTGGTCATCGGATGGCCCACTTTTCCGCCATCTTTGCCATGGCGGGCTCAAGCGATACGACTCACTTTGGCTCGCTGAAGAATCCCGTTCAGTCGACTAGACCCTCACAACGCACCCAAGACACACGCCAAGATCTCCCCAAGTTATTATCGCATTATCGGCACAAATTGCCTTAGCCACTCACAAACAATCCTTCACCAAGCATCACATCATAGATATAATGTGGCAAAACCGCATAATCTAATGCCTTCCAGGAGTGCTTGTCTTCCATTAGACACTAAGCACTCAGGGGAGAACACTAAATTACTTGGTTCCGTCGGGCACACCCTAGGGGAGAACCCGAAAATCCACATTTTTCCATCAGGATCACAAATGAGAGAATAAAGCTTACAATATTCTTTACCATTTCTTACATCACTTTTAATACAACATCATAATATAATATTTATTATTATAACAACAAAATATAATCATATTATCAGAGTTATAAACAGTTTAATTGAACAGCGGAATATAAACATGTGACCGAATTATAACGGAAATAATTATCTATTCATGACATGATGAATCATTAATATATAAACTACGACAACAGATTATGAAACTTTCATTTATAAAAGCATTTGGTAAGAGTTATAAATAACAACTATGATCGCAGCGTAAAGGAATCCTCACTGAGCCCACTAGGAAATATCCACAGACAAGGGTCAGCTCTAGCATCCACCTGTCACCTGCAACAGAGGGAATAAAACCCTGAGTACTCAATTGTACTCAGCAAGACTTATCCGACAGGAGGAAAGAAAAGACTCCAAGGATATGCAAGGCTATCTGGCTGGTGGGTTTATTGCATTTGCAGGAAGCATTACTAAGCGTGCGTCCTTATGTTCGATTTTTATTAACAGCCGCATTGGTTCATTAACTAACCATTCTATGTAAGCACCTGTGCTACTTTCAAGTAGGTGGTGAGCAATCAGAATTTCCTTCTTCCATCTTTCATCTTTCAGTTATTACTACGGTGCTAGAGGTAAGACAAGTCGTACCGACTCGACGGCGATTCGTGAACTAATGTGCCCAACTGGGTGCCCCGAAAACACACGCCCCGCTTGTACCCTAGGCACAAGCAGGACCAACCCATCACCCTCCTATCCTGGGGTCCTAGGTCCCCGTCCAAACTGGAACTCCAAGCCCCCGCCTTTGAGTCCGGACTCAGTGTGGTGTAAGGACCTCCTAAACCAAAACAAAACCCTAACAGTCGGTCCGGAAAGAGCTGGAACCCACGACAAGAGAGCAACAAGTCTTCCAAGCACCCATACCCAAGTATATGCTCGGGACAATAGATATGTGACTTGACTCGCGTCCATTGCAACGGCCGGTCCTTAACCGACACAGACAGGGAAAATAGTGTAACTAAGCTATGCCCCGCGTCCACGGCGACACAACCTCTTACACCCACCGATACCCAAACCATATCTCTGTCCGGTTGTAACACCCAAAAATTTCAGTCTTTTGAAATAAGAAAATTCGATTTAATTATGTTATTATGTGAGCATTGAAATATAGGAAAGAAATATTTTTGTGAAAATCAAATCAAATATAAGGTTAGTAACATGTTGATGCATTCATGTTGCTGCACATTTGTTTTTGTAATGATTGGCTTTGACTAGAATTTGAATTGAATTCAAATTCAACTTGAAGATGAGATTGGAAAATGCATTTGAAAAAAAAATCATTTTTCCTTTTCCCCTTCCTCATTTCGGCCTGTTGGCCATTTCTCTCCCCTCTGATGTCTGGCTGGGTGGCTGCCAAACTTTTTCCCCACTGGCCCGCTCACCATTCTCTTTCCCCCTCCTCCCGTTTTTCTCTGGGCGGCCGAGCCAGTGGCATTGCCTCATGTGCCCACCCAAGTGTGTGTCGGCCCAGCTCATGACAG